GTGACAGCTTGATTTAATTTAGGTAAAGAAATAAAAAACAGTCAAACTCTGGGAAGTTCAAGGTATGCCAGATTCCAGAAATTACCAGAATTGGGGCCTCTCATTCTTCCTTTCATTTTGTCCTTGGCTTCTCTCACTGGGACATCTTTATTGTCTCACATTTGCTTCCCAGGAGACCGAAGGTATTTTCAAATCCTCGAGGAAGTCCTCTGAGCCAGGAAAAAGAGATAACATGATTAGAACCACCACGCTAGGTAGAGTAGGTCAGGGCCTTCAAAGAAAACACTGCTATACTGTACAGTTGAAATAAAATTGAGCCCCTCTGGAGCCTGTCTTCCCCTAGCCACCCATTCCCACTCTACTCTTAGCTCCATGGACTTTATTTGATAACTTTTTGTTCTTCTTTCAAAACCCCATCTAATGCTTTCTGTGAGATCTGACTGGGCAGTCCAGTTCCTTCCCGGCTTGGTTTCACCTGTGCCAGGGAAGCTCAACTTATCACGGTGCTTGTTAGGGCCTCTTTACAGGTTTTTCACCATGAAGACCAACTGCCTTAATTGGTTTTATGTTACTTTATTTCTTCACTTGTACACTTACCAATTGTTGAAAGCCTCCTATGTGCTATATTCTGGGGACTGCAAGAGAAATAACATAGGATTCCTGTTTTCAAGGTGATCAAGGTCAAGGGGAAACTTGATAAACAGACACTTGCTATAGAATACAGTAGGCTGAGCAGTGGGTGTTATCAGAAAATATAGAAGAGCCTCCTTCCTGATTGCAGATAGTGAAGGTCAGAATGAGTTTCCTGAAGTGAAAAGGGCTGCCTTGGCCTGTGCTGTGAGTCAATTAGCAATAATTGCACCTTAGATAAACCTCATTGGGTGCAATACTGCCACTGTGCAAAGCCTGTGCCAAGTCTTGTTGAATGGGATTGAGCCTGGTTGGGTAGGGGCTGGAGAGAGGATCATTCTCTGTGATAATAACAGCATATAAGAGAGTTAGAGAATACTAGAAAGTGTAATATATTAAGATGCTTCTATTGGATTAGGATATGTAAGTCATAAAATATGAAATGACTGGAAAATAAGACAGTTCCAATAAAGTAGTAACTTTACAGAATAGTGCACTAGGAGTATAGAAAAAATTAAGATCATTGTGAACTTATTGTGGAGATCTGTCAGAAAATGTGTGGTTTTGACTAATTTCTTGAGGAGTCGATAGTGCTAAATATTAAATCAAAAAGTCTGGGTTTTGATCTTACTCTGCCAAGTGTTAGGTGGGTGATAGATTCTCCATCTCTAATTTCTATATCATAAAACAAAGACATTAAAATCCATCTTGCAGAGTTTTACTGAGAATAAGGTGTGTAAATGAAAGTACTTAGTAAACTAAAAGCATTATAGAAATAAATTATCCTTTAAATCTGTTCATCTGTAGAGAGTTCTTAATTGATAAAGGTATTTGGAAGATTAGAAATATGTATAGTTGCATGGAAAGATGCAATATTTACGTCAAGAAGTATGTTAATTTTACTTACTGGCTGAAAAATCTTGATTAATGCTATTGCAAAATTTATAACATGTTATATGCTCACTTGAGTTTTTTACACATATCTAACTCTGAGGGTAGGGCAAAAGAACAACACTTTGGGGTGGATAAGGTTTGATTCAGCTGAACATGTGATATACTAGGAATTATGGAGTTTGGGTGTTGTAAATAAAGATGTTTTCTCTACTCAGTGAAGTGCCTTCTTCTAGACAGGCATTTCACTCTCAGATTTCCTCTCATGATAAAACTCTAACAAAGTGCTGCTTTTCCTTCAGCGTCTCTGTTTCTTCCTCTGTAAATAGTAACAAACAACGGCAGCATTTTAATGTCACACTCATAGAAGCAGTCTGTAGAAAAGTGTGATTCCATTATACTCTGTGTGAGTCAGCCTTATACTCCGTTCAGGTGTGGGAGAGGGCAGGGCAGTACCTCCAGTGGGTAGGTTTTGATCTGCTAGAGGAGTCTAAGTGCTTTTGAGTGCATGTCAAAGGCTGTGGTGAAACACTGAAATGTAATTGACATAGTGTGTGCAGGCACGCATATGTATTAGTCAGATTTTCATTGCTGGATAAAATATGTGCCATCGACAACTTAAAGGAAGGAAATTGTATTTTGGCTCATGGTCTCAGAATTTTCAGCCCATGGGTCAGCTGGTTCCAAGAAAAGAACATTATGGCAGAAGGGTGTGGCAGAGGTCCTTACCTCAAGAGCCAGGAACCAAAGAGCAGAGGAAGAGCCAAAGAGAGAAAGGAAGAAGTTGGAAACAGAATATACTCTTTAGAAGCATGTTCCCAGCAACTCACCTCCTTCAGCCAGGCCCCACCTCCTAACAGCACATTCAGCTATGAACTTCTCAATGGGTTAATCCACTGATGAGTTTAGTGCCTCCATGACCCACTTACCTTCCAAAAGCCCTACCTTTGAATACATGAGAATTTGGGGGGAACATTTAGCCCTGCCTTGTTTCCCTTATTCCCCTATTCCCCTATTCCTCTATTCCCCCACTAACACCAGTGCTGAACAGAACGTTACAAGGGAGAATGATTCCAGTGCTCTTCTATGTGGCTGTGAAGATGGCATTGAAAAACTTTTAATGAGATGTTAAAGATTTGTCACTCACTCTTGTTCACTGATGAATGCAAAGGACTTTTAAATGGAGGACCAGCACTCCTGGGTGTGGAGTCAAAATAATGGGAAGTAGGCAGTCCTCTTGTTCTATCCATCTGGATCAAACTCTACTAAGAGTTGCCTTTTAAAACATATCCAAGCAAGGAGAGCATGGTTCACTTCTTGGAATGAGAGTTTATGAGGCATTGCTGCAATTCCCACAAAATTAGGAGGAATTCTATGATCCAAAAGTTTTAGAAATGTTGAGTATGTTCACATTGTAGATATAAAATGCACAAGAGTGCATCTAAGGCTGAAAAATAAAATATTTGAATCCAGCTTTCCTGAATTTATTTGTCTTTCCAACTGTTTTATTTAGTTACACTCATTAACATCTTGAATACATCTTGTTCTTAGATAGTGGGGAAATGCTGTCCTTAGAGAAGCCTCAGTAAACAAATTGTTGTATTGAAGGCTGAAGTCCAAGCATTAAGTAAAAGAAAAGTAGAATATGGATTAATGAATCTTGCAAATAGGGAATATATGTTTACCACACCAACAGGCCTTTTAAACAGCCCATTCTTTATTAAATTGGAGATCTATGGGTGAGGAAGACTGAACTAGGCAACTAGAAAGTGAGTTCATTTATCCAGTGACACTTTATACCCAAAATTAGTTTAACTTTTTTTTCCCATTAGATCAGATAGAGTTCCTTGGAAAATCTCTTGAAAATCTTGAAATTGAGTCTTCTCCCTTCCCTCTGCCCTTTTGCTTTTTCTTATAAAGAATGAGTGTAGGGCTGGGGATTTAGCTCAGTGGTTTTGCCGCCTGCTGCACAAGTGCAAGGACCCGAGTTCAATCCCTGGTACCAAAAAAAAAAAAAAAAAAGAATGAGTGTAGATTTGATTTACAACTTTTGTAGTTTGTGTTTAATGGGACCCTATGGAAACCTACTAGCCAAGAAAAAGAGTAATCACTATAGTTTTAACTGTAATTACAGAAAAATGCTTTCCTCTCCTTCAACCTTTCCATTGTCTGTGATCATGAGCCATATCTTCAATAGAAATTTTCCAATAAGTGCAAACATTGTATTTTCCTGCCATAGGCTCTCTAAAGTATTTTTATTTCTTCTCACAAAATAGCCAGGAAGATTTCAGGCAATGGGATCAACTCCATTTATCATATATGTCATTATGTAACTCTTAGCGTCTCTCAATCAATTTTTCTCTAATTGCTACTCTTCCCAGCATCTCTCTAGAATTTGTTTAGCTCAGTGGATGTTATTTTACCTACTCTGTCACAATGCTTTGCAACTGACTTCAGTCCATTCATCTATATGTTTTCTCTGCCAGTTGAATTTAAAATTATTGGAGGCAAGGTTAACATATTTAATCCTTTCATACTGCCTTCAAAGTCTCACATGCAGTTTCTATACTGATTAGTTGCTTGTTTATTTGAATTGATTTAAGAATAATTCACAGGGAGTGAAAATGAGGATATCTACTCATGTTTTATATAAAATATGACTAGAACATGAATATTGGAGTCTGCCTGACCTGAGTTCAAATCCCAGACCAAAAATATCAGTAGTCATTTTACTCTTAAGTTTTATATCTCCTTGAAGCTACCATGTTCTCAAATGCAGAATGGAAATACTGTATCCACCTCTTCTTGGTTTTTTTGGTAACTGGAATCAAACTCAGGACCTTGCATTTGCCAGGCAGGTGTAGCACCACTGAGCTAAATCCCCAGCCCCTGTATCCACCTTTTCTTAAAGAACTACTTGAGGAATAAGATGTTTAAATTCTGGTATCAAGACAGAGGTTTGATTCTTATCTCTGATTCTTAGTGTAGCATCATGGGCAAGTAAGTTAAACTTCTCTGAGTCTTATTTCCCTCATCTGCAAGTTAGGGTCCACAGCAGGATTTGTCTCACGGAGTTGTTGGCATTAGGCAAAATTAAGCATGGAAGACTTAGAATGCTACTTGATACCCAGTAAGCATTTAATTAATGTTAACTATAACTATAGAAATTCACCTAATGTACCTGATGCCAAGAGGTTCAGATAAACTTTAGTTCTTTCTCTTGCTGATTCCCACCTTTAAAATTGTTGCCATGGTAGAAGAACTTTGTAGATCTGTTGGCTAAAAGGATTTAACATAGAACTTTCATTACATGAATGGTGTTTGACTGTTTTACTCATCTTACATGACACCTTTGGGAGGAAAAACTTTCTTGAGAAGATAACAATTTATCTGAATTTAAAAAGGATTATGTTCTCCAAATGTGGGCTGGAGACTTTTTTATTGAACACAGCCATTTTGTGTCATGTTGATTTCCTCAGGATATGAATCAGAGAGAAAGAACTGAAGACTTGTCCCAGGAAGAAAGGGGAGGACTGGCAGTAGATTTTTCACTGGTAAGGCAATTTACACACTTGTCCTTTTCATGGTGAGTCATCGTCTGTGATACATTTCATAGCAATGTCTATGAGCTTCCAAATCTAGAATTAGACATGCCAGCCAAATAAGGGAGAGAGAAGGAAACAGTCTTATACTCCATCTAGTTATCATTCAAAGCATTTTAGGAGAGAAACTTCAAGAAAATGACTGTTCTGGCACCCTACTTTTAATCATAGTTTTAAATCCATTAAAACGGAATTAGTTAATCAAGTTCAAAATGTCTTTGGTAGAAGAATTCAATAGCATTTTTCAATAACCACCTTTTGTATTCCAGAAAAAAATACTAGTCTTTCTAATCTTTTCCCTAAATCTTTTTTTCTTTTGTTATAACTCATGGCTATCTCTATTAGAAAGTTCATTTATGTCCACTTTTTCTGGACTTCAGGTCATTTGGGCCTACTATTCTGTGGGTATTCCTCAGCTATTCTAATAGAATAGAAAATACAACATTTTGCTTCATTCACTTGCACAAAGTCCAAGTCAGAGTACATTACAGGTGCTTACAATATTGACTGAAATGGTAATTATGCCCTTATACTTGTGTAGCTCTTAATGTTTATGAAAAACTTTAGGGGTTGCTGATGTGGCTCAGTGGTAGAGCACATGCCTGGTGTATGCAAGGTCCCTGGTTTAAGCCTTAGTACACAAGAAAGAAAAAGGAAAGAAAGAAAGAAAGAAAGGAAGGAAGGAAGGAAGGAAGGAAGGAAGGAAGGAAGGAAAGAAAGAGGGAAAGAAAGAAAGAAAGGAAGGAAGGAAGGAAGGAAGGAAGGAAAGAAAGAGGGAAAGAAAGAAAGAGAAGAAAGCTTTATCAAAAAACTTACCTGAGATTATTTTATTTGTACTTGTCCCCAGGACCGAAATCTTACCTTTGTTTATAAAGCCAATGTTTGTCAGAGTAGAGCTCTGAATTTGATCTCCAATTCTCATTCGCAAAAGTTTACTAGGCAGACCTACTAGTGTTTTAAACTAGTATATCTGGAGAGTCTTCAAAAAACTAAAAAGAGAAATTCCATTTGATACAGCCATACTTCTCCTGAGTATCTTCTTAAATGAGTTAAAGTCATCATATTGCAGTGATATATACATACCCATGTTTATAACAGAACAATTTACAATAGCTACACTATGCAGCCTATATACCCATTAACAGATGAATGCACAAAGAAAATGTGATATATGTACACAATGGATTACTACTCAGCCATAAAGAAGGATAAATTTGAATGATTTGTAGGAAAATGGATCTATCTTGAGGCCACAATGCTAAATCAGACATAGAAGGTTAAATATCACATGGCTTCCCTTATATCAGAAACCCAAAATATAAATAAAGAGTAAATTAAGGGAGAGCTAATGAGAACGGGATCTGGGGAAGGAGGAGAGAGGTGAGAAAAGGGAGTAAAATTGATCAAAATCCAATATGTATATGTACCAATTCCCCAAAATGAATGTCATTATTGTGTATTGCAACATATACTAATAAAATAAATTTTAAAAGAAAGTATAGCTATTCATCATGCATTTTTTAAATTGTAAAATGCAATTTATTCCTGGTTAGTTTTTAATCTTTTCTGGATTTGAGCTCCAATTTATGCTGACTTTTTATAAGTTTATCATTTTCTCAGATTGTATCTCTATAGTTTTGTTCTGAATGTGAAATATTAATAACACATAATGGGGTGCTTTTAAATTCTTTCTCACCACAGTGTAGGACATCTTGGTGTCTTTTTTTGGTTTGTTTTGCTTTTTGTCTTTTGAGACAGGGTCTTACTATACAGTTCAGGCTGGCCTTGAACTCACTATGTAACCCAGGCTGGCCTGGAACTCACTGTGATCCTCCTGCCTCAGCCTCCTAAATGCTGGGATTACAGATTTGTGCCACCACACCCAGCCCACCTTGATTAAATAATGGGTGGTCAGTGTGAGGACCTTGGTATGCCTTGTGATGAAATTCTTGGTGCTCTAAGATTTCTTCATTGCAGAAATCAATGATCTGTACTAATCCTTCCATTACTGAGTTCCAATTTAGCCAAAGGTGAACATTAATTGATCAGGGAGGCAAGATCTCTTGCACTGAGTTCCTTAAAGACAGGAGCCATGTCAGAAATTTGTAAACTTCCATTTACTATTCTATGGGCTACGGGCTGGCACCGAACAGGTATTAAAATATATTTATCACATTAAATTAACATCTGTAAGGAAATTCAAGAATGTGGTCATGATTTTGTCCATAACAATGTGCTCTTAGATAATCCACTAGGTTTCTGCTGTTATCTGTAAAATGAGATCCCTGTCTACCTTTAAAGGACTAGTGGAAATGTGAGAGTCCTAAAAATTGGGCCTTAAGGAATATTTGTTTTAGACTAGATGAAATTCTAGTCTTTAAATAATTTAACAAATGATTTTTTTGTGTGTGAATCATCAAAGCAAAGGAGCTCTTGGTGACCTACTTGTGAATTAATATTTTAAATCAGCAAGTAGTTTTTTGACAAGTTCTTAAAACCCTCAGTATCTGTTTTTTCCCTTAATGCACATTCCAGTGTGGTCATCTTCACTGTTGGAATGGAATTATCAAGTTGAAGATATGTTGAGGAATGGTTTGTTAAAATCTGGATTCATAATTTTCAACTGGCAGAGCTTGGGGCCAAGCAGCTCCAAGCATTATGGTATCAGTTAAATTAGCCTCCTGGAATATGTGAACGGTCTTTTAGTTTCTCATTAATCTGAGGCAGAAAATACAGTTTCCCAAAGGTTAATGCAAGAGAAAAGTTCATTGTAACATTGTTGGGTGCTAGACGACCTACAAAATTTATTGCATTTGTCAATGAAAGAAGTCTTTAATGTTACCTTGCTGTGAAAGTCATTATAAACTTGTACATAAACAATTTTGCTTTGCTAATGGTTCATGAATCTGAGCAGGCATCAGAATCACCTAGAGGACTTATGAATTCACAGATGGCTGAGTACTACCCTGAAATTTTCTGATTATGTAAATCTGGGAGAGGGTGGATCTCAAGATTTTCCATTATAATAAGTTCCTAGGTGATGCTAATGATTCACACATCCAGAACTTAGTGCTTTTTGATTTTCCTTAAGATTGCCAAGGCTGGACAAAATAAACAATCCATAGACAGCTATTTTTCTCTGAGACTACTTTAGTGAAATGGGATTTAAGCCATCAGTGACACAGGCAGACATCTGTGGGTCAGAGTGCTGTATAAAACTACAGTCAACTCTGGAAAAAGAAAGCCAGTGCTGTTCTGTTTTGCTTTAAGTGAAGCTTTCAGCAACTTTCTGTCTTTGTAGAACACAGTGTAGTCTGCTCTGAACTCATTCTTGGATCATCTGAAAATATATTGCCCAAATTTTAAAAACAAAAGAGGGAAGATGTATCTTCTTCATTTTTTCCCAAGTTGTCGTTTTAAGCTGTTATCTCTTTTCCAACAAATAGGCATGTACACTGGTATCTTGCCTTCTTGCTTTATGAACAAATTACATACTGAACAATATTCCTCTGTCAAGCTGTTTCAAGTTGTTGTTTAATAGAGGCCCAAATCTATCAATTCAGGTTCTTTCTTTGGATGCCTGTTTCATTGCATTCAATTCAGATCAATATCCATTGAATGATTTCTCATGTCAAGTACCATTCTCAGTGCTTAAAAAAAGATGTGACCCAGACAGACACCAATCTCTGTACTTAGAAAACCTACATTCTAGCACGAAGAGACAGATAGTAAATATAATACATAAATCAATGTTATATTCCTGGTAGAGGATGCTATGGAATAAAGGAAATTAAAGCTGAGTATTGAAGTGCAAGACTTCCAGGGCTGGCAGGAGAGAGCAGTGTTCATGGTTATAATTTTAAAAATGAGTTCCATATAAACAAAGATGTAGAGAGGTGAGATATTCACTGTACACCTGGGGAAGTGTGTCACAGGCAGAGAGGAAAGCCTGTGCAAAGGCCCCAAGGCAGGAATGTGCCTGGAATGTTAAGGGACAGCAAGGAGGCCAGTGTTGCTGAAGTGGAGTGTAGACGAAAAGTAATAGGAGAAATAACAGAAAAGTAAGGAAAAAACCATATAAAGAGTTGTAGGTAAGTGAAAAATGACTTTAGCTTCAATATGAGTAGAATAGTAGTCAGTGCAAGGTGTTGGAGAGCCGATGTTTTAGGAAGGATCTGTTGGGACATTATGTTAAGTCTAAACCAAATAAGGCAAGGATAGAAGTAGAAACAGAGACTAGTTAGGAGACCATGCCAGTAAACAAAGCGAGAGATGTTATGGCTAGAGCCAGGGGTTGGTGCTAAAGTGCTATCTGGTACATTTTGAAAATAGGATTCAACAGGATTTCATGATAGATTGGATGCAGAATTTGAGAGAAAAAGGAAGCCAACTTTTGGCTTCAGCACGTGGAAAATTGAAATTGCTATTGATTGAGATGGCTGCAGGAAGAGCAGATCTGGGGGGGGGATATTGGGATTTTGATTTTGGTTACACTGAATTTGGAGTGTCTGTTAGGCTCCTGGTTGTAGATGTCAAGTTGTTGTGAATAAAGCATAAATGGGACTTGTGAAAATATGTTGCATATGCCTAACCTAAAAATAGAGAAGTGGGAGTCCTCAACTTGTTGGTATTAAAAGCTATAAGTCTGAATGAGATTATCAAGTGAGCGGGTGTAGGTAAAATAAAGACAAGGACTCAGCCTTGCTCTTCCCCAGCATAAGAAGTCAAGGAAGATCTCTGAGCTAGGAGGAAAACTAATAGGATTCAGTGTCCTAAAAGCCAAAAGAAAGAAATATATCAAGTAAAAGATAGTAAAAATAGGACAAATGCAGCTGTTAGATCCAATACGGGGAAGACCAAAAACTGTCCATTGAATTTCATAACTGGACCTAGATTGATGATCTGAGCAAGAACATAATTTGGTGGAATTGTGATGGTTAAAGCCTGGTCAGGTAGTTTAAGAGGTAATGATAAGAGAGCAATTAGAAACAGTGAGAAAGCCAACTCTTGAGCTTCCTGTAAAAGGATGTAAAGAAACAGAATGAAATAGGTGGAGAATTAGGGTCAAGATGATTTGTTGCTATTTAGTTTTGGTTAAGAGGCATTAAAATATGACCGTGTGCTGATAGGAATGTTCTAGCAGCCAGAGACAGATCAATGTTTTAGGAAAGATAGAAAGAATCATTTAAGCAATTTTGTTGGGTTAGCAAAAGTGGTAATATCTAGGGTTCAAGTGGAGAACTGGGCTACAGAGAGATCAAATATTTTTATCCATAGTAACAGACATGTTTAGGGTGCTGATGCCACTGGTAAGGCGAGTAGAACTAGTGTGAGACCCTGTATAAAATCTCTTTTGAAACCTTCAGTTTTCCTCATTAAGAAGGAAATATTATGTCCTAAAATCTCAAAAAAAATCAGCAGAAAATAAGGTCTAAGAATATGCCTCTACAAATATTTATTCAAAAACTAAAATGGAGTCAAACATAATACAAAAAGTATGCCATACATGTTTCATTTTAGGAGTTTTTCTAAGTGTCAATTTTAAAATAAAAAAATTCTTTTCCTGGTAAATTTTTTTAAAATCAAGCACAGACATTCTTCATTGCTCCAACAACCTTCAAATGTATTCATAATTAAGAGTACTTGCACAGGAAATTTTTATTTTTCAATTTTATGTGTATGAATGTCTGTAACATTTTTAGATGTTAAATGTGAATAATTCCATGAGAAATTTTCTTCAGCACTCTCTTGCTCTCCATTCTAACAAAATGACTAATCACCACCATCTTATCAATGTTGACAATCTGGTATTTTATAGGTATTGATTGCAGTTCTTAAAGAGATATAAATAAAAATTTTAGGTATTCTTTTTTATAAGTTCATAAACCTAAAGCCCAGATAGGAAGTCCTAGATTATGAGAGAGAGAGAGAGAGAGAGAGAGAGAGAGAGGGAGAGAGAGAGAGAGATCTTAAATTTTTCTTCAGTGTAAAAAACAATGACACTCTCTGGAGGGTAGGAACAATATCCTTGTGCTTGCTTGACCAACATGTATAAAACACAATCTAGTAAGGCATTACATAAATGTTGCAATGATAATTCTCTTATTTTGGGCTGCTACAATAAAATGCCATCAACCGATAGACTTATAAACAATAGAAATTTATTTGTCAAGTTTGGGAATCTGGAAGCCCAAGGTCAGGGTGCCAGGATGGTTATGTCTAATTAGGGTCCTTTTCTATGTGACACATGACTGACTTCTCATGGTATCCTTACTTGGCAGAAGGAGGGTAAGAGATATCCCTGGGGGTCCCTCTTTTAACAGCACTAGTCTCATTCAGGAGTGCCGCATCCTCATGATCTAATTTCTCCCCAAAATTTCATCACTTAATGCATTGCTTTGGGGTTTAGCATTTCAACATATGAATTTCAGAGGAACAGTCAGTGTGCTGTAATAATAAATTATATAAGATAGATATTTTAAAATACCTTTTAAGATTGACACTGATGATCAAGTCAGTTTAAAGCAAAAAGGAAATCACTATAATATTGAGCTGGTTGGGTTGTAGGGGAAATGAAGTGCGTTTGTCTCTGTAAAATTACAGTGTATGTACCATGGTAAGGGTCCAATAACTTATTATAATAGGTATAAGATGACAAGGTTTTTCAGGAAAGATCCAATAAAATCGTCAACATTTGGGGATTATTCTTAGTTAGCTATTTGATGGGAGGGCAGAAGGTATCTGCAGCCAACATTACTTTGTTGAGAACTAAGATTTAGCAGCAAAACCATATGAGGTCTAGGTGGACAAGAAACTATTATTCAGCTCTTATGTGCCAGGCGCATAAGCATCTTATATGCACATTTTATTTAGTTCTTATGATAGCCCTGTACCTAAGTTGCATTAACTCAATTGTATTGATGAGGAAATTGAGTTGGGGAGAAATGATTAAGTGCTACAATGGGAAAGTTCTCTGCAAATTGCTAAGTAAATTAAAAGACTGACCCTATCTACTAAGCTGCCCATAAAAGAGCAAAATCCTCAGCAAGGTCACTATGGGATTTGATTCCTAAGCCCCTAGTCTTCTTTTCACAATTCTAAGTTATTGAATTGCTCATCTAAATCCAGCCCAAACTCAAAAGCATGGTATTGGCTTGGTCAGAATCCAGGAGTCAGCTTACTTTGTTATTGGCCTTGGGATTCAGTTCATATTTCTGAACATGAATGCAGAGGTTTGCATTGGGATATTGATAAAGGTTGAAGACAAAAGGAAAAAAATCACACTTTTTTTTCTCATGAACAAAATGCTCTTTCCCTTTCAAAAGACCATAGTATAGTTTCTTTAGAATCTGACTGTTTCAAACTCAAATTAGTATTTCTGTAGTTGACTAAAAACTGAATTATCTCTCCCTTTTACTTTATCAATGCTGAGAAAGAGACTTAATTTAATATTTTCTACCCAGATCAAATGAATATCAATTAGAACAATAACTTTATTTTTGCAACAGGAAAACCAAATTGTAATAGCTTGGTTGTGATAGCGTTTTAGAGAATTTAAAGGATATCATAACCCATTCATTCATAATAGTCAATTATTGACACCTAGCAGCTTCATTTATGAATAAAGAATAAGTTGGCTAGCAGAGCAACTTACAAATATATTATTTTACACCTAAGTTTTTCAACACAAACATTTTTAAAACTTCCCGGGGAAAAGGCAAATCTCTCAATTTTTAACACTTCCATGTTTTTCTTTTTTTTTTCCCTCAAGATGTGGAAAACCAGACTCTTTACTCAGTCTAGAGTTGGTCACCTGAAATAGGACAAATAACACCAGAGCATCCGAATTTTTTTTTCTTCCCAAAACCTTGGGAGGAGGCTTAGGTTGGGGTGAGAAGTTCTTCTGCAGGGATGCAGAAGAGAACAGCTTGGATTTCCATTATGAGTTTAGTATGAAAATAACTGTGTGCAAGTATATGAAGGATTTACTATATTTAAAATTTCATCCCTGTCCTCAGAGACCAGTTTAGAACAGGGCAAGTTTAGTGTAGTTTTGACACAGAGCTTAATGGCCAAAGGAGTAGCTAATAATAGAAATTACTAGGAAGAGGAATTATGATTATATTTTTTGCTAAAGAATTTAACTGTACTGATGCTCCTCATGACCTTGGAGATGTGGCAGTCTTGCCTCCTCTCTATCTCAGGATTTCTTTGTTCAATTAATACATTTTGTAATTTCCCTACAAGTGAATATGAAGTTTCACTTATTCCGCAATTTCTCATTGCCCAGGGAGGGGCCAGCTCACTTATTCCTTTGAGCTTAATGTAGAAGAATCAAAATCCCCCAGTGAGAGGAATAAGGGCAGAGACCCAACCTGACTTCCTCTAGCTTTAGGCAACTTGTGAGAGCCCATGATTCATCCAGAGGCCCCATCCTCAAGCAACCTCCATCAAACCATGCCCCGCCCCCCAATATGTTATTTCACATTTTCTTTCGTGGTGCAATCTTGCTCTGAGATTACAAGGAATGCTGAGTTTTATTAGTGTTCTTTCAACACACTGATTTAATTGTCACTGCCCCTTAGCAAGTGCTGAGTCATTCCCTAAGCGTCATAGCATTCCATAGACACCTCATCCTTTTCTATTTTCCTTCCTTTTTTTAAAGTCCTCATTTTTTTCCCAACAGGTTTGTCTTTGGAAAAGACTGAGAAGAACTGGTAAGCTCTCCTTCCTCACTTCTGCTCCTTGGTTGAGTATAATTTATATTTCTAACCATTTTGCAAGTGTCATTAAAGAACATTTCCCAAGTTTCTGCTGAAGAAGAGCCTTGTTTGATCTTTGCAATGCTGGCACTCTTTTAGAATTAACCATGGAAAAATTTGATGACACTTCCACGCTTCTTGTAAAATTCATCTTTGGGGTAATTTTACAGTGTGTGTTTTCCCCTTGAATGTTTTAAAGAGTTGGATTTCCGTCTCTTTGCACAACATTCTACCAGCTGTGTCTCATTTGCTTTGCAAGGGCATTTGAAGAAACTGCTATTTTGGAAACTGCTTAACATATGAGATAATTGTTTTAAAGCACTTTACAGGTTTCATAGTGCTTTCCCATTATTTTACCCATTCATTTCTCATAGACACTTAGGAAATACTATTTACACTTTTCAGAAAGGAAAATAGAGGTACTGAAGAAAGAACAGAACAGCAGCTTGGCAAGGTGATATATCTCATTCCTGAATTAATCAACAAATTAAAATCTCTTTCTTCAGACCCTTTAATACCTATGACCAGAAATCCTCACGCCTTTTGACCTAAATAGGTAGACAGACACATGTGCTGTTCTGCACAGGCATGTGTGGTCTGGTTAGTCTTCTATCTACTATAAGAAATAGGTGCTGCACCCATGTTTATAGTGGCACAGTTTGTAATAGCTAAAGCTTGGAAACAGCCCAAGTGCCCATCAACTGGAAACTGGATAAAGAAGATTTTTTTTTTTATATATAAAATGGAGTACTACCCAGCCATAAAGAATGAGAAACTAGAGTCACTTATAGCTAAACGTATGCATATTGAGGCCATCCTCTTAAGTGAAATAAATAGGACACATGTGTGTAAATGCCAAATAGTTTCTCTAGTGTGAGAAACTGAAAGTGTAAATAAGATTAAAATGATTAAAACAAATAATTGATAATTTGAAATAGGAAGAAAAGTTCCAAAGGGGTAGGGGAAGTGGAAAGGGAAGGGGAAAGGAAAGAAGGGAAAGGAAAAATTATGAGAAGAGGAAAAAATGGAAACAAAGTCTTTGTAAATAGGGAAGGGTGGAGGGGGTGAAGGGAGTACAGGGAATGGGGAGAAAACAAGAACCAAGATATGTCATGTACAGGTACAAGCACCCAATGATAAATGTAAACCTTATTGTATACCTAAAATGTACCAGTAAAAGAATTTAAGAAAAAAAAAATAGAAAAAGAAATAGGTGCTGCCGACTTGGACATTGAGACTCTGAAAAGGGACTATTTAGTTGCCTTTGTTATAGGTGATGTGGTGGGTGGTTAAAAGCGTTACCCTCAGAGTATAAATTGCTTGTGTATAAATCCAAACTCTAGCCCTTATCAACTGTGTGACATTGGTGAATTGCTTATCATCTCTTACCCTTGATTTTCTTATCTGTACAATGGGAACAGTAGTTACAGTTTCCTGGAATATTGCAAGGCTTATCGGACCTAATTGAAACAAAACTCTAAGCACAGTCATGCAATAACCCCTCAGTAAGCCCTAGTATCATATTGTGGTTCAAAATATGGTCACCTGGTCATTTTTCTTGATGTTCATTTAAGTTGATTTGTTTCATAAAATTATACCAGTGAAGGCCTGGGGATAGTAACCTCCAGAGGTAATTGGTAGGGTAGACTGAAGTTATACTAGTGTTTTCTCTGCTTTTGAGAGCTGTGATAATTATAACTTTTCAGTCATTCTACTCTTTAAACACAGAACAGCAATGTTGTTCCTCCTGAATAATGTGGGAAGGAGACAAAGACCCCATTCACTCTTGCCTGTGGCATTTCAGGCTAGCTCTTTAGGAATAGTAGCCCACTGAAAGGCAAAAGATGACATGGATTTTCTCGAAGTTCAAGGTGAAATGAAGATATAGAAGAAACAACCGTGATCTGTTTAGTTGTGAATGGGCTCTTGTTGGAAGACAGAGGACTGAGTCCCATATCTTCAACTTTTATATTTGGAGATACTAAAGTACAGTTTTGCTCAGTTACCCAGCAAGTGCTTCTTGGTCACCCTTGGGTCTACTAGGTGCTGGAAGGTGAGTATCAGCAACAGGTTATTCTTATAAATGGGAATTAAAATACCTTCAGGATGACCAACTTGTTCCCTATTTTCCCAGGACATTCCAATGGCAAGTGCTATATCCTGGAAACCTCTTCAGTCCTAGGAAAATTCAAGGAGATTGGTCACCCTAATACCTGCTGTTTTACTGTGTTCGCCACATAGGCAATAGATATAAAGGTACTTTGACATTTCATGAACTGAAGAGTATAATCAATTCTGAACACCTAATGTTCAAAAATAGTGCATTTGGTTATTGGAATGAAACTGCTTAGAAATATGTAATGTGACTGGAAAAACCCCATTAACGTGTATTCCATGCTTTATATCATCCTAATGTATGTACACACATGTAATTGAAAGTACACACAAGCATATTCATAGAGAACATTTAGAACAATTACTTTCAGGTTATAATGAGGATAATGTACACTGAAAAGACCTCATTTCCATCATTGTTACTTCCTGAAACATTCTGTTTTACATCCAAAGCATATTTTTTAAATGATTACCACTTAAAATACTGTAAATTGATTAGTGTGGTGGTTAATCCTGATTGCCAACTTGATTGGCCTGAGACATGCCTAGGAGATTAAGAAGTCATACTTCTGGGTATATCTGGGTGGGTTATGAGGACATGACTGACCTTGGGGTCTATATCTGGTCCCTCATTCCTTCCTTTTGGGCTCTTCACTTGTTCTCTACCTCCCAGATGCCATGCATTGAGTAGCTTTCCTCTGCCATGTCTCTCTGCCATGATGTTTCTTCCATAGAATCAGCCAATCACGGGCTGAAATCAGGAGCCAAAATAAACCTCTCCTCCTACTTTAAGCTTCAACTCTCAGGTATTTTGTCCCAACAACAGAAAGCTAACCAGTACAACCAGTAATCTGTATTAGACAACTTTAAAGGAAAACAAAATGATCTGGGGAAGATGACATAACTGGCCATCTATTGGCATAATAATAAATGCACACGAAAGAATAGTAGCACATTGCTTGGAATTAACTAGAGGTAGCATTGGCATTTCACAGATGTACAAAACTGTCAACCAGTGAGCACACCCAGGAATTAGGATAGTTCCCAAAAACAAATCATTTAGTTTGCTTTCATGTCATCCAGAGATTGCCCTGGAGTGGAACTTCAAAATGTATGAGGATGAATTTGCTTAAAAATTCAAAAGTTTCTTGATTGACTTATTTGTATTTTACCCAGAGAAATCAACCATAATTCAAGCCAATGAGCCCTGTAAATGCCACACCTAAGCTTTGCATAGACATGCATAGCAAAGATAAATTAAACATGTCACATCTATTAGGAAGAACATAAAAACAAGCAAATTTGGTCAAACTCAATCACTTATATTAATAGAAGTAATATTTATTTTAAAAATTATTCCTTTAAAATAGAATGACTCTGGGCCAGGGATGTAGCTCAGTGGCACAGTGCCTGCCTGGCAAGCAGAAGGCCCTGAGTTCGATTCCAGTACAAAAGGGCTCTTTTCTGCTTGACTTTCTAAATGGAACATGTAAACTTTGAGAAAATGTTGAAAACCCTGTGAGCATGTGATATACTCTTTGTCTGTCCCACAGAACCTGTTTCAGGCCTGGGCACCTGGTGGACACTTAGTAAAGCCTTTTTCACTTATATTGAATGTTCTTTGTATTAATAATCATCCAGTGTAATATAATGAAACTAAAGTGAACAGGGCATGGCCTACCATTCCACGTTGAACTTTCCCCTAAGGAATAAACTACTTTACCTCTCAGACAGAAGCAAAGAACTCATTCAAAAGCAGAGCTGAAGGCTGTTGGAGTTATTGTTGTTTATATTTCCCTGGACAGAGGAGTAATTATGTTGGCTTTAAAGGCCTTTTCTTCTACCTTCCATTTTGGCCTGCTGGTGGAGGAAGAAGCCTTCCTTGTATTCCTGCATCTTACAAATGGAAACACAGAGGAGGGAATCGTTTGCCCAAGGTCATAAAGTCAAAATATCTCAGATATTTGTCAATCCTAATTTAATTTTCCCAAATCTCATCAAACAGAGCTGTAGGTAATTTTCTTGGTCCTGTTTTTAGTTTAGGAAGTGCCCCTCCCCCATTCCCTCTCCACTGTCCATGATTTTCCCAATGTTTCCATTCCTAAACAATTCTGCTTCCTTCTATTACTTTCAAATAGTATTTTCTTTGTTCTCAGCCAACACATCTGTACCTCTACTCTAAGATCTCAGGCTAAGGGAATCTTCTAGATGACTGAAAGTACTGAATAAATATGAAGCTATAAGGGCTGTTTCTCCTCAGGCCAGCCTGCTGCCTTACATGTAGCAACCCACAGCTACAGGGTTGGACAGATTTCTCTCAGGCTTCAGTAATGGGAGCCAAGGGTTTGCTTTATGGTTAATTTAGCTGGTGATGAGAGCAAGAGAAAATTTGTGAGGAAGGACATGAAGTGGAGGAAACCGAGGTCATAGCTTGAGCAGAAGCTCTAACAAGACAGATTGCTTGTGGCTCTTAGGGCACCATTTCCCCAACAGTGGTGATGCAGAGACAAAGTTAACAAATGACAGTCTCCTTTGAGGGGCACATGAGGGCACAAAGATTTTTCAGAACTGAGCCCCACAGAGAGGAAGTCTGCTTGATATTTATTCAAACCCCTTCCTTTTAAATTTTGATTACCCTTGGCTCTGCTAGGTGCTAAAATTTATGCACCAGCGACAGGTGATTCTTATGTAAGGATGGAATCTTGGGTGTGATAAATTTGGTCTAGAGAAATCTCAGCTCAGTTGCTACAGATGGCAGTGTCATGATGACAGAGTTAGAGAGCAGTGACCTGCCGGGCTGTGGGCTGTCTGCGAAATGGCTACTTGGTTCAGAACTGCCGGAGCTAATTCCTTGAGCTCAAGGTCATGATCAAGGAGCATAAATGAACTGTAGGGTTGACATCATTCTAGCAACATCCTTTCCTCCTCCCTCAGACACTTCTGCTGGCTCACTCAAGGGTCCTGCAAGAATCAGGTTACAACCTGTGCTCCTGGTGAATACCTTTGTAATGTGTGGCCTCTGTCTATTATTTTCTTTTTTTCTTTTTTTTGAATGGGGCAAGGGATCGAACTCTGGTCCTTGTGCTTGGGCAGCAGGCGGCGAAACCATTGAGCTAAATCCGCAGCCCCGCCTCTGTCTATTATGACTTATCCTGTTAATGGTAAATTCTGTGCTTGCTGAAAATTGCTTACACTAAAGAATTTGCACCAACTGGGTTGGTTTGGCTGAGGAGACATTTTTATGTGGACGGTTCCAGTCAAGTTCTATCTGTGATCTGGGTTTTTCTGTAGTGACATCTTTCAGGCCACAAATTCTTAGCCTTAGTTTTGAAGAGTTTGGAAATCCCCCGAAAGTTCACACATACACAAAATTGTGAATCTTATCTGCCTTTCTTTAGGAAGAGAGTTTATACTCTACAGCTTTCATGAAATTGTTACAAGAGTCTAAGATTCAACAAAAATAAGAGTCACTATTGCAAATGAAGAAAATACTCTGAAATATCCTTTGTTTTCTTTCAACTACATTTCCCATCTTGAATTTTAGATTGAACTTGACCAGGGGTTAGCAACCTAGGGGAAGCTTTGGAGTCAGCCTGTTGATCCTGGCATGGACATTGACTTTATTCTTTCCAACTGTGTGACCTTAAATATGTCTCTCTTTGCCTCATATCCTTATTTAGAAAATGGATGAAATAGGGGAAAGATGACCTGCCTCACTGTGGTATCATGGGGATTAAACAAGAACATTATATATGAATTTTATGATGTACCTGGCATTTGGGAAGCCTTCATAAACCATCATTAGTAGTGGTAGGAGTCACATGGAACTCAGGACCCTGCAGTGTGTGGACTGATCTCAATGCCATGTGTCTTCTTCCTTTCTGCATCTTTGAATTTTCTCATGCCTTTGTCTATTTGCTGAGTGATTAAGGTGCTATTTCATATTCTTCATAATCATCAACATAGTATAACAACCACTCTTAAGAGACAATATAATCCCATCCTTTAGCCTACCTCTTCTGAAGATGATCTTTTAGTTTTAGTGTTTGTTTGGTTTTGGGTTTTTTTTGGTACCAGGGATCGAACTCGGGACCTTGCACGTGCCAAGAAGATGGCGGAACCACTGAGCTAAATCCCCAGCCCCTGATGTTTTAGTTTTTAAAGTTTATCAAAAATCATATATAATTTAGGGCCGGGGATTTAGCTCAGTGGTTTCGATGCCTGCTGCGCAAGTGCAAGGACCCGAGTTTGATCCCCGGTACCAAAAAAGAAAAGCATATATAATTTATATTTTAGCTAAGGACATTTTTTCTTACCTTACTTTATTTGTAATAACTTGCTTCATTTCCTAACATGTAGCAAGTACTAGTAAATATTTGCTGAATTAATGAAAAAGAAAACTCTAACATAATAAGGGATATATGCATGAAAACATCAGTTATCTTACTAGTCACTCTCTTGTCCAGAATTATTAGACATTCATTTCTCTAAAGACCACTGCCAACATTACTTATTTTGGAAACAATGAAAAGGGATGGCTTTATTTGAGGGCATTCATCATCCTACTATCGATGTACTTCTTTTCTGCTTGAGGTTTGAGGCAAACAGTGTCCAGTCTCAGACACTCTTTTGTACCAATATTTCCATAGGAAGTGAAAAATCATCCTAAACAGGGAGTTCCATTTTTAAAGTTTGTTTGATGAAATTGACAGAAAAATCGAAGAGAAAATGTATTAAGAAAGAGAACTTTGATTTATGAAAATATCATGAAAGCTCAATGTGATTTTCTGGAAGAATGTGACAGTGGATTTTACAGTATATCCATAAAACTGTATCACAATTATATCAGTAAATATGATTCAAGGGAATATAAAATTTGTTTCCAAGTATGCATTTCTGTTGCTCACTGCTTAATCCACAGAATGTAGCAAATAAATATTTATTGATGAACTCATATTTATGTTATAATAAAAATAACATTTATATTTTATTCATATTATGGCAATAAGGGAAATGCAGTACTCCCCCATGTAATGTGTTTGTGAACATATTTCTGAGGCTCAGTTGACTGACAAACCACTAAAAAAAGTACCTTCTACATCTGTTTCCTATGACAAAAAGTAATTTTAGAGAAGATGACT